CAGGTGGTCATCCCCTGTGAGAGGACACAGGCCCGCTGAAGGACCCCCCTCGCCCCCCGAGTGCACAAATTTTTGTGCACCGGGCCTCTAGTAAAAGTATAAAGAAATAAAATCAATAAATATATCCTCAGGTGAGGATTAAAAAAATGAGATTAAGAAAAATAATTGGAAAGGGCGGGGGAAAAAAAGGACACATATGTAATACCCTTTGTAATACTTTAAGCAATAAAACAATAATAATAAAAAAAAAAGCAAAGTAGGGCCTACCAGCCAAAAAAAAGAAAATGAAAAAGAAAAATAATTGGAAAGATATTCATAAGTCAAGCAAACATGTTCTCTTAAATATGCACACCTTGTGTTTTCACCTGTCAGTTCAGTGTGGCAATGCTCTTTCAAACAACATTTCAATACATGTTTCAGAAATTTTCTTTATAGTAATACATATCAGAATGTCACTTATCCAAACCTCCTTTCTTGCCTGAAGAACAGTATGTAGATTAGCTCTCATCTATTCCTGTTTTGCTCTTTAATGTTATAAACCAAACTTGTATTTTTGGCATTGAACAGAGGGCTCTAATTCTGTTACCATTACATCAAAAAGATTATCTAATTTGTATACTGTGGAAAAACAAAAAACTAAATTAGTAACTTCAAATTTGCAAATTTTCACAGTTGCAAATTACTGGTAACCAAAAGTTGCAGGAGTTAAAACAAAGATATCAAGATTGGTGTATTATCCTTTAAACTGCTAACCATTTAGGTTTTATTCACAGTAGCATTTTCCAGCTTGCTAAGTGAAAGAGTTCCACAGGTACTCCTTTTTTAAAAAAAGGGTTCTTTATCAAGTTGTGAGATTTAGATTTCATTAGCATATTAAAGTCATTTATAATTGTTAAATACATGTGTCCTGCATTAATTTAAACACAAAATCCTTTGTATGCATATGAAAAGACTCCTGTGGATCAAAATTTGGGAAACAAAGGTTTTTCTGTGCATGAAGATATTCTGAGATGGTATTTTAAAATGTGAAATTAAAGCAAAAAATTCTTTCACTTGGTATTTTTTTCAAAACAGTTTTGCAAAGGGCACACATGAGCTCATTTTTCAGTCAAGTAGCGCCAGTTTTTATGAACCTACCTGAATATCCAATAATGCTTCCCAGCCAAGACAAAAGTTTCAAACCAAAATTCTGATGCGCAACAATAGACGAATGCATAACTTGAACTTTAAGTGGCTTTGTCTGTCTACTGGTATTCCTCTTAAAAAGAAATGGCAGGATGAAAAAACAAACTTAAAAAGGCTATTTTATAGGAAAAAAGTTAATGTTTTTATTTCATATAATGACAAACTGTTATTTTATTTTATTTATATTAACCATCCTAATGGGTATGAAGTGGTATCTCACTGTGGTTTTTATTTGCATTTCCCTAAGGATTAGTAATGTTGAGCATGCTTTCATGTGCTTATTGGCAATTTGTATTTTTTTTTTGTAGAAATGTCTTTAGGCGATCACAACTTTTTATTTAACATGTCCCCCTTCACTTCTGTTTAAACCATTTCTTGCCTCCCATTAATTCCATCTCCATAACCCACATCAATACAGTAGATTTTTGCAAAGTTTCTCCATCTACACATATTACATATGTATACATTAAAAAAGATTTTTGATTTCTAAAACTGGGATACTATATATACACTCTTGTGCATCTTTGTGTTAACTGATATTTTTGGTTAATGACTCAATATTCTGTGGTGTGGATTTATTCAAACATCCTCTAGAGAAGGGCAATCATATTCCATGAGTTTTCAGCCTTCCGTGACTACAAAAAAAAAGCAGTACTAAGGATCTTTGTACACACACTTACTGGTAATTATATTCTATGGGATAAACTGCTAGAAGTAAAACTTTAATAGATGCCACACTGTTTTCCAAAAATGCTGTTGCAATTTCTTTTTATACAAGTGTTCCTATTCTCTGCATCTCTGCCAGCAAGGTATTTTATCTCTAATTTCTCCATTCTGTTGGGTGTAAAATTTCCCTGTCATTTCACTGATTACTGCTGTGTTTGAGTCTTGTTTCATATATGTAGACCACCTACATTTTCTCTGTTGGGATTACTTTTTTCTATCTTATGAGCATTTTTCTACCTTATTTGTTCCCTACTTAATAATCTATGAGTGCTGTTTATCATAAACATTAAATGTCTACCCTATTTTAGAAATAATTTTTCTAAATCTATGATTTGTCTACTGATTTTGTTTATGGAATATTTTGCAATGCAATTTTTAAAAAATATTTTTTTATTGATTTCAGAAAGGAAGGGAGAGGAAGAGATGGAAAAATCAATGATGAGAGAATCAATGATTGGCTGCCTCCTGCATGCCCCTACTGGGAATCGAGCCTGCAACCCGGGCATGTACTCTTGATGGAATCGAACCCAGGATCCTTCAGTCCGCAGGCCGATGCTCTATCCACTGAGCCAAACTGGCCAGGGCTGCAATTTTTTTATGTAGTAAAAATAAAATGTTTCTTTTCTAACTCCATTGGGTTCTAGTCTTTGTTAAGAATATCTTTCACCCTAGTTAGTTTGGCTTATTGGATAGAGGACTGGCCTACAGACTGAAGGGTCCTGGGCTCAATTCTGGTCAAGGGCACATGCCCGGGTTGCGGGCTCGATCCCCAGTAGGGGGCGAGCAGGAGGCGGGCGAGCAGGAGGCAGGCGAACAATTGTTCTCTCTCATCATTGTGAGTCTCTCTCTCTCTCCCTTTCCCTTCCTCTCTGAAATCAGTAAAAATAAAATTAAAAAAAGAAGAAAAAAAGAAGCTCTCCTTCTCCCTTAAAATGTACCTGGGGTTTTCTAGATTTTCCTCATATTAGTATCTATTTCTGGACTTACTATTTTATATTATGACTGTATCTATGCAAACACCACCAGAGATTACAAGCACTAATATTTTTAAAAAAGAAAATATTTAGAAGATCAAGTATAAAGGTATGCATGAGAAAATGAATTCATAGAAATAATTATATCCAGGGAAAAAGTAAGGGGAATGGGATTAAGGGATAAGATAGGGGCCACTATACTATTTTATTTATTTAAAGTAAGTATAAAAAATGTATATAATGTGGACAGAGAGGTGTTCATCATATTATCTCTATTTGTATCTGTACATTAAAAACATTTCACAATATATAAAATTATTTTTAAAAAGGAGTTTTGCATAAAATGGAGTTACATGGAATAGTTAAAAACAATAAATGCTAACTTTTAAAATAAATTTAAATGTGGGGATGCTTTCTTTTAGAGAAATAATACATGTAATAAATGCTATTAAGATATGCAGCATACCTTGCTATAAGGTACCAAGAAACAACTTCCCTTGAATTCTAATCTTGGTGCTAAAGGCCAGTTTAATTCTTAAAAAGTAACGTGAAACCCTATCAAAAACAAAACAAGACAAGAAGCAAAAAACTTTCTAGAGATGTCGATGTCTTTGATGAAATAAGAAGGCAGAAAATATATATCATCTAAACATTCATTTTCTATATTAATCTTACACAGCTTTAAAAAATTAGATAAAGCAATAATGCAATGCTCAAGAAGCTTATCTTCAAATGTAATTTTTGGCTGATGTTGGCTTTACATTAATGAAGGCAGAAAAACGTTTTCGTAAATGCCAAAATATGAAACTAGCAGACATGTATTAAAATTACTTACCACAATTACTGATTTTGCTTGCTCACAATACGCGAAGTCTCCATATCGAACAGACCTACGTCCCTATAAACAAAGATATTTACAATTAACTTGTGAAAATATTATATTCAGTATTAATAACTACTGAATCAGGAAACAAATAAACATATTTGAACATACAACAACTCTGGTCATTTTTTAATATTTATAGCATTCATTCTATTCATTGATAAAAAGTAAATGAAAATACTTTCCTTCAAAGCTATCTCAACATTTTTTTTTTGTTTAAAGTATTACATGTCTCCTTTTTACCCGATTGACGCCCCGCCCCCGACTCCTACCCCTGAGGGCAAGCCCCCACCACCCCAGTGTCTGTGTCCACTGGTTATGCTAATATGCATGCATACAAGTCCTTTGGTTGATCTCTAACCCCTGTATCCCAAAATTTTCAAGGCATTAATAAATATATTTTCTTGAATAAAGCAACATTTATTCTTTCAGGCTGCTGTAATTTCTTTTTTTAACCAGCTTTAAAAAAACAGTTTATTTAGGATCATGGAGGCAAATATTGTTAGTGTTTCTCTCTGGAGATACAGAATAATGCTTGGGCTTCTATAATTTTTATTTTCATAACTGAACATTTTGAATCACTGGGTAGAATGAGGATAACTGTATCTACATATATTTTCTCCTAAACTTCTTATCTAACAATAATTTATAGTTGTACCCAATAAAAATTTGGGCCAATATTTATTTGTTTTTATTTTCTTTTCTTTTTTTTTAATTGCTTAAAGTATTACAAAGGGTATTACATATGTGTCCTTTTTTTTCCCCCCGCCCTTGACAATCCCCTGGCCTCCCCTACACCCCAGTGTCTTATGTCATTTACATAATTATTCTTGATGATCCATAACTTTTTATTTTTCTCCTAAAGGACATTTAGATTGTGTCAGGTTTTTGCCACCAAAAACAATGCTGCATTTGGTACATAAATCTTAATAAACTGGTGCTTTTATTTTTAGTACATAGGATACCTTGGGATTGTTGGATAATAGGGTATACACAATAAAAATTGAAATCCATCAACATATGAAATGGATAAACAAAATGTGTGTGTGTGTGTGTGTGTATACATATGTACTTCCATAGTGGCTGCACCAGTCTGCATTCCCACCAGCAGTGCAGGAGTGTTCCTTTTACTCCACATCCTCTCCAGCACTTGTCGTTTGTTGATTTGTTGATGATAGCCAGTCTGACAGGTGTGAGATGGTACCTCATTGTTGTTTTGATTTGCATCTCTTGGATGATAGTGATTTTGAGCATGTTTTCATATGTCTCTTGGCTTTCTGAATGTCCTCTTTTGAAAGGTGTCTATTCGGTTCTTTTGGGGCCAATATTTAAATGAAATTTAAAAAATAGCTTACACTTATATACCTAATTCTATATAACTTATCTGTGTAAAATTTCTATTTTCTTATGTGACATCAATTTAATAAAAAAATTACTTACATCTCGATCTACTGTAGTTGCAAAGCCAATGGCTTCTTTTTGTGTACAGTTAACAGCTTTCTGAAGAGTGTAAATAACTTGTTCGTAGGTATGAACCTCATCATTAAACAGCATGCAATAGTAGGTGTCAGTCTTCTCTCTGTGGGATCAAATATTAATGATACATTACTTATTTGCCTATTCCTTGCTCTAGGCTAATTTACAAAGAGCATACTTTGTTCTAGGGAATGTGCTAGTACTAACTACACCAGTCATCCATGGTCCCCATGCTCTATGACACGACTATCTGGTGAGGAAGATAGACATTGGACATATAATTCTATGTGAACTGCTTTTATTGACGTTAGAATGCTAGGGCAGGGTAAAACAGGTCTGGGAGCTCAGAGAGGAACTGCCAGAGACGTAATCTGAGACCTGAAGTCACAATTGGCTATCAGTGGCTCTTAAAAGGGAATAATTCTCCTCCACCCTCCACAGTTGACCATTTGACAATGTCTGGAAACAATTCTGGTTATCATGATTAGGACGGGAGTGCCACTAGCATCTAGTCGCAGTGGTTCTCAACCTGTGGGTCGTGAACAATGAAAATACATCCTGCATATCAGATATTTACATTACTATTTAATTCATAACAGTAGCAAAATTACACTTATGAAGTAGCAACGAAAATAATTTTATGGCTGGGGGTCACCACAACAAGAGGAACTGTATTAAAGGGTTGCAGCATTAGGAAGGTTGAGAACCACTGCTGGGTAGGGCCAGTGCTGCTAATTATTCTACAATCCACTGGACAGTCCCCATAATAAAGAATTAATCTGACTTCAACTGCCAGCAGTGCTATGACTGAGAAACCCTGGGCCAGAGGGAGGTGTAAGCCAAGGCCACGAGGTGGCGAAGGTAAATGTCAGGCTCTGGAGCACAGAGGAGAAGGGGGAGATTAATCTGGAAAGAGGCAGAAATCTAAAAACTTTCTAATTGACTTGATTACGCCATCCTAAGGGCAATCAAGAATTTGAAAAGCAGATATGGTCAGTTTGCCTTACAGTGTGGAAAATGAACCGTGAGGGACAAGAGTGGATATGGCAATCCAGTTATGAAGGCCATACTGTCCAAAAATAAAATTAATGTAACTTAGACTATGATAGTAGTAATGGAGATGAAGAGTAGAAAATTTTGATAGAAGGAATGCCATTTACTAAGAAGCGAAAACAGTACAAGGAAGCAAGATTCTTTCTCCTCTATGCTGGTATCCTGAACTTAAAAATGAACAAAAAAATCCCCCCCCCCCCCAAACAAAACCTCTTCTATTCTCTTAGATCAATGAATGGTTCCCAACTTGAAGTACATGAAGATAAAGTCATGAGGTACTAATTCATTTTCAACATTTTATTAAAACACTTAACCCGCAACTAATTATCTGAATCACTGTTGAGAAAACAAAAAAGAACTAATGCCAATGTCCTTCAGACTCTCATTCCATCCAACTTGTATTCAACTTTAACTATGAAAGCAATTCTGACAGCCTGGTTAGAGTTAAAAGTAGAAGAGAAGACTGCCTAAGGCAGGGGTGGGCAAACTTTTTGACTGGAGGGCCACAATGGGTTCTTAAACTGGACCGGAGGGCCGGAACAAAAGCATGGATGGAGTGTTTGTGTGAACTAATATAAATTCAAAGTAAACATCATTACATAAAAGGGTACGGTCTTTTTTTTTTTTTAGTTTTATTCATTGCAAACTGGCCAGATCCGGCCCACGGCTGGCCTAAGGCAAACACACTCACAGAAAAAGCAAGCCTTTAGCCTTAATAGAGCTGCGGCAGAATACAGTTTCCAGTCACAAGTCTGTGACCTCCTCAATAATCTAAGTACAAATGGTAAATATGTTAGATGTACACTAAAGAAGCTCAAAGTGTGGAATATATATTACAAAATTTTAGAATAAAAATGAGTTTGAGCATTTAGTCAAACCAGAAAACTCACATCAAAGAGCTCATTTCCTAATCTTACCTGACAGACGAAATAAAAGGAATTGTAGAATTAACTTACCAGTTTTACCACACAAAGAAAAATGCTTATGCCTGAGCTTTGACATAGCTTAAATATGGCTGTACTAGAGGCCCGGTGCACAAAAATTTGTGCACTTGGGGGGAAGAGGGGATCCCTCAGCCTGGCCTGTGCCCTCTCGCAGTCTGGGACCCCTCGGGAGATAACGACCTGCTGGCTTAGGCCTGCTC